AATGCAGGATGACAAGAAATAGAAGGGTTGTGGCACGGCCAAGACAAGCCGAATGCTCCTCTTTCCTTTTGAAACTATTCCATGAGAAATGTTAAAGCATCGGGCATCCCCTGTAGTCTTGGCCTAGTGGTTGAAGCGATGGGTTCAAAATCCATTGGTGTTTCTCTGCGCAGGCTCGAATCCTGCCGAATACGTTCCCTTAGAGTTTACGTCTTTTTTCAAATAACCTTCTGATCAATGAGTTATTGCTCAAACTCGAGAAAATCCGTCTCACCACCCCACCGGAGACTCTGGTCATTTATTGACATTCAGGAAACACGCGTTCCGAACAAGAAACTTACCAGACTCGCCCACTTTAAGGGCATTTAAACGGTCATTGGATAAACATATGGATGATAATGGAATAGTTTAGGTTAGATGGGCTTCAGATTGGTTTCACAGGTCGGCGCAACATCGAGGGCCGAAGGGCCTGTACTGCGCTGTAATGTTCTATGTTCTATGTTGTATGTTCTATACTCAAAACTTTAGCTCTGTTTCTCTTTCCACAGGTACCACGAAACGTGTTGAGTTTCTGCAGTATTCTCTGTGTTTAATCTGCATAAATGGTTTTGCATTAAGTATCTTGAATTGCAGTCCTCTGGTCACTGACCCTGGTCAGTGGCTACAGTTTCTCCCGACCATCACCCCGCCTATTCCCGCCACTCCCTCCCCCACTGTTGTGAACAGCCCCAGGAAATCTCTGGTTAAATTTTTTGCTCCAAAGAGAACATTTCCGATCTCGGGAATCACTGCACTAAATGGGATTTCCTCATCCCTGGACATGTTGCAAGGCGGAGGATTGGGAAGAGATTTTGGGAAAATATTGACAGTTGGAAGTGGGGGGGTGGGGCGATGTTAAGGAAGCAAAACAGAAAACCCAGTCTCCAGCTTTTTGAATCTTTAGAAACTCTTGGAAACCGAAATCACAGGAGAATGAAGAGCGAAATTTCCGACTGAGCACAAACAGTGAAGACACCTGCCCCTTCTTTTAAAGGCTGGGACATTGATGTTCTCGGGACATGAACTGACTTGCGACATTGAAATGATTCTCGTTCCTGCACATCAGGAATTCAAATCTCATCTCGGCTACGGGACAACGAAACAAACAAAAACTGCTGTAGAAACTCAGCAGGTTTGGCAGTACCTGTGGGATAAAACAGAGTTCTGAAACGTTGACACTGATTCTCTGCCAGATCTGCTGAGCTTTTCCTGAAATTTATGTTCTTGTTTTTAAATGAATGTTTATCCCATCTGTTGGGACGAAACAGCCGGATCTACCATGTACTGAATTTAACCCTTTAGAAATCTGAGAAGTGATTGGATTCAAACAAACCGAGTCATGATTCACTCTTCCTCAGCTCCACACACACACACACAGAGACCTGGAAAGCAGAGCCAGCGCTGCGATGTGTATAGTCGTGGCCGAGTGGTTAAGGCGATGGACCCCCAATCAATGGGCTAACCCTGCACTGTTTGATTACCGCCGACTACGGTTGAGAGCGGAAAGGGGTTTGCTCGTTGTGTTCTTGTTTGCGAAAGGTATTACAGGAGAGGCGGCCGACGAATATTTCACCCAAATCGGTTAAGAGGGACATTTGCCAATCACTGCTGGTAAGAAAGCCAGAAGCACAAAACCTCACACGATTTAAGGTACTGCAGTGATTGGGTCGGTGAGTATCTCGAGTTTGAAAGTTGCACGAGCAGCCTGTGAGACTATTTCAGCTCACTGTCCATTTTAAATCCCAGCTCACGGAAACAGTTCTCATTGTCCGGAGAAGTTGCTTGTGTTCCACCTAAAGCTGCCTTTTATCGCTGAAGGTTGAGCCTGGGGACGGAGAGCGGACGTGAAGGACATGGAGCAGGTATAATCCTGAGGTCTCTGTCACTCTCGGGGATGTGCCCCTGTGTCTCCCTCTGTGGGTGAAAATGAGGATGAGTTCCTCAAGGAGGTATTAACACCGTTTTACCATCTCAAATTTCAGGCCCATTTGTTGTGTTATTTGACATCACAGGGATAAATGCATTGACATTTGCCTTCGTAAAGTCAAGCACACAAGGCTATGGGCTAAATGCTGGAAACTGGGACTAGAATGGATGGAGGTTTGATGAGCTGCACTGAAACGATGGGCCAAATGGTCTTCTTCCACGCTGTTAAAAACTCAGAGACGGAGAAACTGAATGGCAGTGAATATGATCAGAAATGAAAACGTAAAAGCAGTGTCATTAAGAAAAGACCTGAGCTGCTCTGTTGTCTTTCTTGATGGTCCAGTGGTTAGGATTTCGCGCTTTCAGCGCTGCAATCTGGGTTCAATTCGCAGTCAGCGGATGAAAGTTCTGTTATGCTAATTTGTTGTGGTGCCAGCAGTTCTGACTGAACAGGAGCGAGCAGCTGATCTGATTTTTCCCAAACGTTGTGCAGGTTAACTTAAAACAAAGAACTGAGGCAATCTGACACAAAACAGAAATTGGTAGGGAAACTCAGCAGGCTTGGCAGCATCTTCAGAGAGAAACAGTGCCAGTGACCATTCATCCCGATTGGGTTAATTATGCATTTCTATATTATAATGTCGGGAGAAATTATTCGCTTTATCTGTCGAATCAACGTATTTATCAAATTCACTCTCTCATTAGCTTACTCACGCCAACTTTACAACTTTAAAAGGACTTCATCAGCTGTAATGCTGCTTCCGTTGCCATGAGGTGCTGAAAAGCTCTGCTTAAATGGTTGCCTTTTTCTTTTCTTTTCTGTCAGTTAGCAGCCACGTGAAATGGAGAATTGTCCTTTCAGTGTCTACCACAATATGTGTCTCTACTTGTCTCTCTTTGACTTTGTGTATCCACCTCTCCCCTTCTCACGTTCTCCGACACTCCATTGTCCACATCCCCCATTTCCCATTTCTGCTGTTTGAAAAGTCTGAAATTCGGAAACACTTTGAGAGTGGAGTGTCTAGTACTGGGCTCACATTCCTTGGATAGTGTGTCTGTCTGTTATGACTGAGGTGAGGAGTCATTTCTGGTCTCAAAAGATTGTGAATCTTCAGAATTCAAAATAGAATTCCTAATCCACCAGAAAACAAAAACAATGCCACCACAATCATAGTATTATAGCGATGTCTTTACTGTTGGTTTAAAAATGAATGAGGGTGATCTTTTCAAAGAGCAGAAATGGGGAATGAGGGATGTGGACAATGGAGTGTTGGAGAGTGTGAAAGGGGGTGAGGTGGATACACAGAGTCAAAGAGAGACAAATGGAGACACATTTTGTGGTAGACACAGAAAGGACCAATTCTCCATTCGAAATGGCTGCGAACTGACAGAAAGGAAAAGAAAAATATCTGTGCCATTACCACAACTTTCCCCAGGAAGGCTACAGTTTATCCAGCCTCACCTCGTTATTCCGACCAAACTGTGAATGAAGGGATGAGAATACAAGAAAAGGAGAAGCAGAAGTGCTTGTGGAACAGCAGAAAGGAAGTTCATGGTGAATCGAGC